CCGGTTTTGGCAACAAAAGGAAACCAGCCAACAAAAACATGAACCAGTTTTTTGTCAGGGTTTTCTGTTAATGACGTTTATTTTTATACTGCCTTTGTAGCCAGTGTAATTGCTACTGTAATTTGGATGGTCGAAATGCCTTACTGTAATGCCTTGGATTCAGGACTATGATCGAGGGTATAGAATAGGAAATTATATATTGATTGCAAACACCTATGCATGCGTGGCACATAATATTTTTTTGAAATTATAGGCCTATGCTTAATTTATACAAGCAAAGTCATATAATAGACATACATATTTTAAAGTCATTGTGTATTTATTTTTACAAAGGCACTGAAAGATTAAATATTATTTAAAAACAAAGTTGTTACTTTAAAAAAGTGTGTTTTTATCTGTTTTGCGAAGTTCATGCAATGTTTTACCACTATATTTAATTAGGTCCCATGAATACTCCATTTGACAATGTTTATTTCATTTAGTGTTTTAAAATGTTTACACATTATACAAACATGCGTTGCGGTAAATTCAGAAGTCATAGGTTTACAATTTTATTAAAAAAACTATGTCTTGAAAACTTACTACTTCTCAATACTAATAGCAGCCTTTAAGGCATACATAAACTAAACGTGTAAAGTGTGTTCTGTCGATGTATGATTTAATATTACCCAAAAATAAACAAGGAAATACTGTTATTCTACATTGAAATAACGATTTTTAAACTGAAGAAATCCGCAATCGATCGATACTACCTACGTCCTACATCAAGGCCCCACTAGAAAAACTACATCCTCTAGAACAAATATATCAGAGCCATATCCAATGCAGTATTGTGTAAATTTCCAAAAGTATCCACCATCGTTGACTATATATACTCAGTCGATGATCATACTCAACATTCTAGTGATTATCTCACGGCCAAACACAGTTCCAATGGTAATTTATGAATACCAATTTCGAAACAAAAATACAAACCTCGCGCCGGCGCGGCGCCTCGGCTCGGACGTTTGAGGGTAGGAGGCCAATGTCACGGACGGGGACGTGGTTACGGCGATCTTATGTAAGCGGTCCTACTGTAGGGTTAAGGTTACTTTCACTCCGACTGCCACTTTCTACAACTGGAGCACCTAGTTCTGAGTGACGCCAAGTTTGACACCACAGAAGCGTTGATTTTTTTTATAAAAGCATTACACTCATGAAATTGTTTATGCATTTTGGGATTTTTTAATTGTGGGTTACCTTAAATTTTCAATTGCAAAAAATATGGCGGTAATAGTTTAAACGGATTTAAAGAGGATCTAAAAGGTATGCTTACCTATACTCAACCAGACCCATTGTTTTGTTATCCAGCTATTTCCAAAGGGACTGTTATAAGGGCTGTATATTATTTTAATCAAATGTACTTTAATTTTGAATATAATTATTAATAATTGTGTTTTTATTTCACAGAGTTAATTTACTTGTTTTTTTACAAATGATAAAGCTATCAATTAATTAAACTAATTTATAGTACACAAACAGTGTTATATAAGACCACAAGACAAAAGGGAATAAGTACAGTAGTTCGATTTTTTCACCTCTTATATAAACGTATACATAGTATAGCAGAAATATTATTATTTGAAAAAAATATTTGAATTTTATAACCAAAATGTTGGATTTAAAGCATTCGTTTTTGTATCTTACTGATCAATAGCGGTAATGTATTAAAGAATTAACGATTTTTACGTATACAAGAGAGAGAGATAGAGAGAAAATTCTTTATTTACAACAAATTATTTTGCAGCAATTGTATACAATTGAATGCTTTAGACATCCTATTGTTATTTGAGAGATAATAAATTAACTTCTACAAAAATTATGTTTACAGGACCATCATACATGCATTTTGTTATCATTCATCTATCTATCAATCTATCTTCTATATTCTACACGCTACGCGTATATTCCATACGCTACATCAAACTTTGTGAACAATAAGGCTTTTTTTGTTTTAATATTTAACCCCACATATTATATACCAAAATGTTCGTCTGGGTGTGTAGATTTGCAAAATCTACTCAAATATATATACAGGTGATTGAGAAATCGCTGTATTAAGTTTAAAAGCATGGTTATTTTTGAAAAACATAAAATACTTTTTTGGGAAGCTAGTTTTTAGACTTGGAACATTTTATTTGCATCATCACACTTAATTTACTTTGTACTTACACCAAAATATTTTTGTCACACTGAGTACCAAATACCCTGTATCAAACTGTTATGTACATCGTGAGTATTTCCATAATCTTTGAATCGACTCTTTTAAAGTCACAGGAAATTATTACTGTTATTCGTTTTAGAATAATGCATGTAATAGTTCACAATTGCTCGAATTCAAGCACCAGATACACTAGTTATCATTATATTAGGACGAATAACATCTTCAAATGGTCTGACACCAAATAATTATCCTAACTTTGAAACTTAACAAACATTATATTTTTCTTTGTATTGATCTATAAAGAAATAGTGCAACCAATAACTATACAGTTCAAAGAACATTAATATGATTGAATTCGTTGATTGATAAGTTAAGTAATTCTACTACAACATATTATTATAACAATTAGTTGCCAATGCGCTGCTATGATTAATTGTTGTTTCATCAGCGCATATTAGCAATACTTGGACGCTATGAAAGAAGCTTTATTGTTGTAAAGTTTGATGTTGCGACAAGGTTAATTGTTGCGATCATTGCCAAACTACCAAGGTGTGCAAAGGCAAACAATAGACTTGTTATTCGCGAAAATCTATATGAATATGTCAAGAACATTTCCCCGTGGGAGATCACTAAATCAATCAATTAGTTGAATATACTTAGGTTTAAATGGGAAATCACGTGTTTTTTCTTCAAAAAAAGTTATGTCTTATATTAAAGTCAGAGGTGATGATTTATTGATGTTGTTGACTATGAAATACTTTTTTTTGTTCTTTATATAAATACTAAAATTGCATACAATTATACATGCATACAATAATATCGTGATGTTGACTACGAGTATTTGTTCATGTAATACAACGACCTATAAATTTTGTATTAATTATCAATAGGAAAAGTTAGGGGTGAAATGCATGAAATGGAAATTTTATTTAGGAGATTTTCATGAGTTTTGAAATGTATAAACGTTATTCCTATCGAAAATACTAAACAATAATGAGGTGCTTCTTCATATAGTCAGTTTGGGTTCGAATTGCGAGCTAATTCGAAATACTGTAATCTAAATAATTGCGAAGTATTTCTATAATAATTGTATTTATACATTTGTTCCAAAGTAAATGAAAATTGGATGATTTTCAAAAGAGTAATAAAGCACGTGAATATATTCACACAATTGGGACGAACTGCGTTTTGGCTTTTGGGACCCTTTTAACGAAAAAGAATAGTGCTCATAGGCATTATTATGTAGACTTCGGTTATTTCCATGTAGGGACACTAGCTAACATTACTATTAATACAACTACAAAATTTTCTTTATGCTAAACCAGTCAACAGATGATAAATTTGTTGAAGGTAAACTTCTATAACAGAGGCTAAACAATGATACTAAAGATAAATTGTTTAGTAATATATTAGTACGGTCTCGTGAAATGTTCTTTAACAGTTTCAAATAAAAAATGAAAACATATGTAATAACAAAATCCCATATTCAGTGGATTATTATTTGCATGTAAGAATATTTCTGTTCAATCGTGTCCGTATTTCTTTAATCCAAGATCTTATTATATTTATCAGATGTAAATATTAATTTGCTCTAAATAATAGCATTTCACGAAGATTTTTAATGCATTGTTAAATGTCTACAACAATAATAGGTTTTTACAAACAACGATTAATATGTGTTCTGTATAAAGCCACGAATCACCTTAAAACATTAAATTGCTAAAATACCGGCAAACTGGAAACATAACCACATTTTAAAAAGTAGACCGTGTCTACTCCTTTAATCTATGATTAAACCAACATAGAAATATTAGATCATTTAATGATTGTTTATATTTAAAAGTCATACTAATGGGACATTTTGCATGGATATCGTCTGTTAAATATTTTGACCAGTATGATCAAACAGAAGCAACTAAGTAAATTAAATTAAGTAATTTTGTTTGATGTTTGAACAACGTTTATAATCTTAAAACAGTGTGACAAGTAAGTATCTATATGGAAGTTTCTTTTGTTCACAAAAAGAATTGTACTTAGACAATGTAATTTGATTGTGAGCCAAATAAACAAATTAACTACTCACGTATATCCACTTACACAATCGTGCCAAGAATTAAAATGTTAAGGAGATGTGCTTTGTTTATTGTCTTAGAAAATGAATATTTACATGCAGATAGGCATAGAACATGCAGATTTGTTCCTGTTTTTGATTGTTTAATTGTCCTAAATTTTGATTGTTTCGTATGAAACCGACCTACATTTTATTTTTCAACAAAATTAGTTAATCACAGGCTTTAAAGAATCGTAACTAATTCGTGTGGTTAACTTTGAATTTAAATAATAAACAGTCGCGCTTACGTTAAAACTAATTTTTTATGAACTTTGAGAAGATATAATAAATAGAAAAAATATAACTGGCAAAAACAATTAATAACAATAATCATGGCATAACCGAATAGTTACGTATTACTTTTAAAATCAATACAAAGAGTTTGCTAGACTGATAAAACTATACTTTATACTGATAAATAAACGTGCATTTCGGACCTTTTCCTTTTGATTCACTACCACAATATAATTTGTATGTAAAAACACAAAATTGAAGTTTTTAAGATATGCCTTGGTTCTAAAATAACCAAACTTTACCCAACCTAACCATAAACAGAATTTGTAAATAATCATAGCACTTCAACCTAAAAAATAGTGATAGTGAATTGACGAAAAAAGGTCCTGTAATTTTTTTTACCTATCACTCTTAACAATCAAAGTCATACTTGAAAAATTTAAATCAACTTACATACAACAATACAATGTGACAACAGGTCGGTGACGTCAGCAGGGTCAGCTGTGATGGTGAGCGGCGCGCTAGGTGGGCGACGACGAACAGCGATGGACGACGATGTAGCGAGTGGCGAGGGTACACCAGGAGCCGACCTTCAGTACCTTAGGACACCTGGCGGACCTCACGTCGTCCACGGGTCCTTCGGGAGGTTGAGGCGGGTCGTGGACATCCAGGAGTCAGGTGAAGACAAGAGGACGGAACATTTCAGTAATTAAGTTCCCACCAAATATTATATTGAGAAACGCGTCGGTTTTGGCAAACAGTTCCAGAAAGGTGCACAAGGATGTTGGACCATTTATATGTGTTTAATTTACGTAATCAAGTGTACGTTTACTGTGACCTAATAGTTTGTAAGTTTTCATAAAAGGTGTTCCACAGGGGTCTGTGTTGGGGGTCTTTACTATTTCTTTATTGGATCTATCAATATCCTAAACAGCAAATTAATGTCTAAAAGAGCGTGACCAATATTTCAGCACCAAAACATTTCGTATTTGGTACCATGTAAACTGATCGTTTCTCATAGGGAGTATTTTTTATTTATAAAATTTTCACAATGCCTACTTAATTTCCCAAAAATATTTCAAACTATAATAATAACGATATTGCTATAATTTTTAGCATCGTGATGAAGTATGGTTTGCTCCTTTAGACCGGTGTTCGAGTTCGCCAACAGTTTGTCTCCCACAAATCAGAGCACTACAAAATCATGAATTGTAAAACAATTTTATGTTAAGCTTCGAGCTCTTGGCCTTTTATTCGAGCCACATTCCTTAATATTTGAATCATCGGTGTTTGCACAATACACGTTTCATAAAACCAGTAAATATATTGAAAATTGAATATGCTCCATAACATTGCCTTCTGGATTATTTTGTTTGATTGCGTTTGAACATGTAGGATCTGCATCTAAATACTCTTGTGCCAATGAACCAAAAACAATAAAATAAAATAAACAAACTCAGAAAACAAATTAATTCCATCACGAAGGTTGTTAGCGAATTTCCCTATAGGGAAGTAGCTATTACCGTAGGTCTCATGGTAAGACCTAGGCCCGGGACCGATTTACTTTTTCATTTTGATGTCCCCAGAGGCCAAAAACACCATTCGTTCAAATTTTTATATATCTATATATAGAGATATATATATATATATATATATATATATATGTGTCCATCCGCATGATAACTTGAGTAATTTTTGTCCGATTTTGATAAAATTTGGTTTGAAGGTGTAAGGCGGGATAAACTTGAATGAGTTCGCGAACCAGCATGATCGGACTATGGGAACGGGGGTTTACGGGGGGTTTTATGGGGTAAAAATAGGTTTTTCCCATTTTTGACCCAAAAAAAAAAAATTTTGCAATTTCTTTCGAAACTATTTTGTAGAGCTTAAAAAAACAAATAATTTAGTATATTGAAGCATTATATTGCGCCTAATGGTTACGGAGAAAATTCCAAAAAATTGTAAATTTTAAATTCCCATGTTATTCTTACGGAGAATAAGTAAACTGTTGTAGTTTGCTTGTTTATAAACATATTTTGCCCAAATTTGGAAATTGTTTTTATTTCTTACTAACTATTAACATTTCACACTTTTACTCTCCCTGTTGCAGCAAACCTAAGTATGTTTTAAACTGATTCTATTTAAATAGGGAATAAATGTGATATTTTTAAGGAGACATTTTAGTGTAGATCCATTCAGGGAAATGGAAATTCGCTTAGTCTGCAGGTTTGCTGCGGCGGGGGTATTATATATTTAGAATCTGTAAGACAAAATTTTTACCAGAAAATTGTGGACGTCTGGTAAGTCGCAGAAACGTAGGAGGGGTCTTAAACTGTACAGGGGGGTCTAATCGTCATTTTAGTAAAGGTCTTGACCCCAGGGACTCGGGGAAAATAGCTGAATTCCCATAAAGTTACCAGAAAACGATATATAACATAAAATGTTCTCCATAAGAATAGCATTAGAAGCCATTTACTGCAGATCTTTGTTTACTTCAATACAGCTGATCGTGATTTATCATTAAGCCAGTATGCAATATTAACATTTGGATTACTTATTTGCCAGTCAATTCTGCAATGTAGGCCTACTGTAACTATATATAAAAGGCAAAGCCCTCATTGACTCACTGACTGACTCACTCACTCATCACCAATTCTCTTAATTCCCAATTACCTAGGAGGCTGAAATTTGGTACACTGATTCTTTAGGCATTAAATATGAAAACTAAGCTGTTTTTATTCTGATCGGACTCTCGGGCTCCGCCGGAGTCCATATATATATGTGACCATCCGCACGATAACTTGAGTAATTTTTGTCCGATTTTGATAAAATTTGGTTTGAAGGTGTAAGGCGGGATAAACTTGAACGAGTTCGCGAACCAGCATGATCGGACTATGGGAACGGGGGTTTATGGGGGCTTTTATGGGGTAAAAATGGGGTTTTCCCATTTTTGACCCAAAAACATAAAATTTTGCAAAATCTTTTCAAACCATTTTGTAGTGCTTAAAAAAACAAATAATTTAGTATATTGAAGTGTTACTATGCGCCTAATGGTTACAGAGAAAATTCCAAAAAAATGTAAATTTTAAATTCCCATGTTATTCTTATGGAGAATAAGTAAACTGTTGTAGTTTGCTTGTTTATGAACAACAACGCTTTGATCAAATTTGGAAAATGTTTTTATTTCTTACTAACTATTAACATTTTACAAAAAAAGCAGTTTTACCCTCCCTGATGCAGCAAACCTAAGTACCTGTTAAACTAATTCTATTTAAATAGGAAATCAATTTTAAGTAGATATTTTAGTGTAAACCCAATCAGACATATGGAAATTCGCTTAGTCTGCAGGTTTGCTGCGGCGAGGGTATTTCTCTATTCCACATGTACGAATGCGCACACTAGCTGATAAATAGGGAAAACAAAGCAATTAAAGTAAGTACTATTCAAAATACGGAGTCTACAGAAGACGCGTCGATTAGTGAGGAGCCTAAAGCAGTTTTAAAGTTAATTAAACAATATTTGTTGACGAAAGGAGGACCTTTGACGCGTCGTAAAAACAATTAGTTAGCTCATTGTCCATGAGAAATTAATAAAAAAACTTGTAAAATATTCAAGTGTTTTTTTTTTATAGTAACAGTAGTGCCTTTTGGCTAGACATAGCAACTTCAGCTCAAAAACCAAAACACTCAATACGTTTATTGCTATTGAAACGTAACCAACTCCTTCAAATCTCCTTCGAAGATTTATCTGCCATCTTCTTAGCAGACTAATTAATCATGTCCAACACGAAAAACGGAATGATAACCAGATGAAGAAAGAGATTCTGGTAAAATTACATCAAAGTTTAAAAATCCAGTTGTTTGTTTATCACATGCCAGGTTTAAGTAGCTCATGGCTGGCCATTGATTCGCTGCGGCATATTCCACTATAGCACCACGTCACAGTTCTGTTTACAGGTTGGTAGCGCTGAATGATAACCAGGTTAGGTCGGACGGGATAATCTGGCGGGAAAGATTAATATTCGTTTCCCGCGACGGCGGGGTCGCGTCCCAGATGTGCGCCGGGCGGGAATATCCAGCAACGGGAAGGACGAGAAGATCCACCAATGATTACTCGGGTGGCCAAGAAGTGATCCTAATTCGTACAGTGAAACATTAAATTGCATAGCTTTCTTTGTAGTTAACAAGAAATCTCGACAAGCGATGGGTAGGGATGGGTGGCCGCTTCATGTACAGCTTCATCTTCAAAAGTAAACGTACGTTTAATTTGAGCAAAGACAATTGACTACAAATACAAAATATAATTCTCAATTTAAACTATTTATGTTCCTAGACGACATAGCCCAGGCAAATTAGCCCAAAAACGAGCGGTATCTCCAAAAAAATGGGGTAAAGCTGAAAATCGTTTAAATCTGCTCTGGAGATTGCTTTAAACTCAAAAACAGTGCATCCCACAATAACGCTTTTCTAAATAACATTAAATTCCACGTTGAATGACGTTAAAATCATTAAAATCGATTCAGTCGTTCTGCTACAACAGGCCGTCAAAGTTCAATAATTTTAAACGAAAACTTTAGCATACACTGCCATCTGGCAGAACACGCTGTAATAATCAAGAATAGGATGACATGGAGAATGTTAAAATTGCTGAACTTACGACATAACGACTGAACATAAATGACTGAACAAAACGACTGAACCGATTTTAATGAACTTAACGCCATTCGACACGGAATTTAATGTTCTTTAGAAAAGTATCTGGACACGTTTTTGTGGGATTCACTGATTTTGAGTTGTAAGCGAAAAACTAAAAAAATGAGCAAAATCGGCCGAGTTTTACCTGCCATACACTTAGCTCACTCCAGAATCCCTCGCTTGCTTTAGAATGTATTATTTATTGATGTCGGTAATCCTATCTTTTGAGCTGTTTATATGTATATGTACGTACTAGAACATCCCAAACAGGTCTTTGACCTAGGGATGAATATAGTTTCATCGAATAAATCACAAGTGTGTAAGTTAGTTAATCTAAGTTATTTTTAGTTTTACTCTGGGTGTAAGCTTTGTAAATCAATATATGAAACAATAAAGATTTTATGATTTCTTTTACAACATTAATGCTTTCTGTGCCCCATTTACCACAGAAATTACAACAAGAATTCTGTTAACGCAAGAGAGATACTTTAAACGCGTTTTAAAATGGTTGTGATAAAAAACTTGCTAATTCTGGTGTTCTAGTTTTGTCTATTGCTGTCGCAAGTATGTTGTCACATTTACTTGCACAATGCAACAACAACAAAAAATAAAACGAAATTAGACCAATGATAAAATTGTAATTCTATAGAATGCGACGGTGATACTATTGTTTACATAGAATGAAAAAAAGCCAACTTCGTTGCCCAAATTACCTACTACGCCATTTTGCGGCCCCAGAGATATAATGTAAGCATCACACCCTAAAAGAATTTGCAATCACAAGTTTCGAAGTAACGTCTTTATTGCTAAGTACAAATGGCCAAACAGTAA